CAACAGACCATCTCCATGTACTTTTGCAAGCGGAGTGAGCAAAATGTGAGTCCAAAGGGCATGAAATTGCCCTTGATCTGACATAAGTATGGAGGGCAATTCTAAGATATTGGAAAGTAAGGATGAAACCTATTATGTGCCACCCTTTCCCCCACACCAAACACATACTACATTTCCCATCCTTTTCTCTAACTGAAAACTTCAGTAGTTGGGTATGAGAGTGGGGAGAGAGAGGAATTTCCATTTTCATTACCATTCTTACCTGCTATAGCTGGCCTTTTAGAGGATCAGGCTTTCGCCTGTATTACCCATGGGCATGTCCATGACTCACAAAAGCCAGTCACACCCTCTACCAACTGCCTCTTGCAGGTCCCATTGCCTTCCCAGCAAGTCAGCTCTCCAGCTAGGTGGAATCAAAAGCACCAGACTCAGTGCTAAGAGCTCCCACCATCCTAATGCATCAGAATATAAAGGATACAAAGAAAATGCTTTCTTGTTGTTAGCAAATGTATTCTTCCTCCATTATTTAAAAAAAAAAAAGCGACAGCAAAAAGTTAAATCTACATTTACTGTAAAAGTAAAGAAAATCTTGCAATGAGATGATCCTGTGGGGCTTTGGCACAGACACACTTTCTCTCTCCCGAGGTGCCCTGCAGCCCCAGGAGAACAGTGGGTCTTGTCTTCAGCAGGTTGTGTTTAATCCGGTTCTTGGCTTGTCCTTTCTCTTAGCCCTTCCAGTCGGAGTGCTCCTCCCTCATGGCCTTCACAAGCCAGTCCCGTTCAGTCCCCTGCTCGGAGTCGCTCGTGTCACTGGCCTCCACAGTCAGCAGCTTCGAATAGTTGACCTTCCTCTCCTGGGGCAGCCTCGGCTGGATGGTTAGAAGCAAAACCAGCCAGAGCAGCAGGGACACGCAGCAGGCCTGGTAGAGCACAGCCAGGCCAAAGCGCATCACCACGAAGCCCCCCACAAAGCTGCCCAGGCTGGACCCACCCCCCAAAAAGTGGCTTCGGAACAAGGCGCTCAGAGGTCTCTCAGTTCCTGGGGTGGCCAGATCTTCGATCAGGGCCCCCACCGCCCACCACAGAGCCCCGGTGCTGATGGCACTCAAGATCTGAACAGGGAGGACAGACCACCAGCTCCAGAGGAAAGAGTAGTACAGCATCTGCCCTGCCAGGCAGCCCAGCCCCAGCCCCACCGTGCCCACCCTAGACAGCTTCCTGAGCAACGGCGCTTTCAGCGGATGAAGCAGAACCTCCCCCAGCAAGCCCAGGGCCACCGAGAAACCCATGACCAGCTCGCTGCTCCCGTGGTCCTTCATGTGCCAGAACAGAAAGTTCTCCACCGTGCTGGTGGCGGCTCCTATCAGGAAGACCGTGAAGGCCAGGAGGACGAGGTGGGGGTCGCCCCCTAGGAGAAACAGCGCTTTGACAGTTTTATAGCTGGCTTCCCGCTGCCTGCAGATGGGGACGGGGAAGGCGATGCTCACCAGGAAGGCCAGCGCGCTGGCCAGTGAGTAGCCATAGAAGTGCACCGCACCCCGAGGGCTGTCTGTCGTCAGGAAGCAGTCCAGCTGCCCCGTCACAGCGGCGATGCCACACACACCTGCCGACATGCCTAGCAGCCTCCAGACCCACAGGCTTCTGTAACGGTCGGTGGCATCCACGAAGTCCAGGTATTCATAGAGGCTGTCGTCTGCCACCTGCTCCACAGGGGCTGTCAGTAGCTCCCAGAACACCATGCAGCCCAAGGTGAGGATGAAAAGCCACTGTAACCCTTCCATGGAAAAGTCCGGAGCCTGGGTGTCCCCCTCGGCCACGGACAAGTTAGCTGGACTTGCCAGCGCTGTACCCTCAGCAGGCAAAGGGAAGGCAGTACTGACCTGCTTCAAAGCATCTGGCCAGGGAGCCTCTTTCACTTCTGAAGTTATAGGATGGAGGAGAACTTGGGACCTGTTCCTGGCTCCTTCAACGGGGACCACAAAATTGCCAGGCGGGTGACTGAAAGGTTCTTGGGCACTCTGGTCACTGCGTCTCTTTCTGAAGCCAGAGGCGTCGGCCATCATAGTGTTCTTGGCTGGGAGACTGGACTCTGAGGCTGGGGGGCTTGAGTCTGGCTCTTCGGACAAGGTGACGTTCCCAGTTAGTGCGCCCCCTGATGGTAGGACCGTGGTGGTCACGAAGTCGCTTTCGTTACAGGAAGGATACACCAGGTCTTTGTCCAACGGTGGCACCAGGACCATCAAGAGGCTGGCTCCCATCGACCCAAGCAGCGAGCCCACCAGAAGCACCCTCCTTTTCTGGTAGCTTTCGGCCAGGAAGGCACAGAAGGGAGCCCAGAAGGCTGCGATCAGATGTTTGGTTCCCATCAGGATGCCCACCCAGGGCGCGGTCAAGCCCAGCTGCTTCAGGTAGAGGGTCAGGAACGGGGCCACGCAGGCATCCCGGACCCCACACACCAGGTGGAAGAGCCTGGCCACCCCCAGCGCCCTGCTGATGTCCCATTGTGGGTTGGCGCTCATGGTTCGCCGGCTGCGTCAGACCCGGGCCGGCGGCAGGAGGAGCTGGGGGCAGGGCAGGCGCGGCGGCGGCTGGGGTGGGTGCGACGCCATCTCCCCAGGAGCGAGGCGCGGGCGAAGAGCGTCTGCGGCCTCCGGCGGCGCCGTGGTCTCCCGGTCAACGGCCCTCCCCCTCCCCCCCTCCACGTCCGGCTACTGACCCGGAAATGGCCCCGCCCCGGGCGGTGCACCTGCGGGGGTGGGGAGGCTGGCACACCTGCTAGCTGCACCTGCCACGTCCCGCTGCCTCCTCCTCCCGGAGCCAGGCGCACGCGTCGTCGCCGCGGTCCCTGCCAGCCGTGCGCAGGTGCGAGAGGACTGCCGCCTGTGGCCTGCAGGGTGCGCCCCAAGCCCAGGGCCCCGACGCTACTGTGAACTTGAGTTAAACGCCCCTAGAGCCAAGATCCGGAGAAAGAATAGAATTCATGGGAGAAAGAATAGAATTCATGATATGAGCCCTCTCCCTCACCTTCTTCAGGTCTTTAACGTCTCTGATCAAGGACCAAGCCAAGGGCCCATCCCTATCCACCTTCGCTGACAAATCCCACCCCTTCTCCAGGTTCTCACATGCGCTTCCCTGCTTTATTTTTCTCCCTAGCCCGCACCACTGCCGGAGACACTTCCAGAAAGCTTCACGCGTTTATCTTGCTTACTGTCTCTATCACAACCAAGGCGCTAAGGAAGGCAGCTATTTTGGTCTGCAGGGCCCAGAACTGTTTTTCCTGAAAGTCAGTTATCTCTAGAAGAGTCATGACTTTGAGTCACAGCTGTCTTCAGTTGGGATGATCTCCAGAGAGCGCTGACGGCTCGGGTCTATCTTGGAGTGGCACCCCAGAAACCCATCCTGGTAGCCATCCCAGTCCCAATGAATAGCATTTATGTATTGGGTAGTTTTAGTTTACACCTAAGGGTGGTTAGTTGTCCAATTTGGGAGTACACATTCCAGCTAACATGTAATCAAAAACCATACTCTAGAGTCAGCAAACATATGTCGACTGGCAAAAAGCTTGTCAATGACTTTAGAACAGAAGACACTTCATTAACTACCATACTATTGGCGAAATTTCACCGGCAAAATCAGTGGTGACATGAATTGGTTAGAATGTTTTTGGAGGCATTTCCTTCTTTGGCAAACAGGGTATACAGATCTAGAGATCTAGTAGTCCAAATCTTTTGCCACAGGCTTTTTTCCAACATGGGCCAGTGTCCAGCCACTATTTCAGCAAACTTTTCATGCAGGGGTTGTACAGAACACCCAGCTTGGCTGATGGGGTGTGAAGCAGGAGCGACTTGCCAACACATCAGAACATGTAGGAGAATTTGGTGTATGACTTGCTTTTGCTGTAAGCTGGTAGAGGGATTGCTGGGACAGGAAACCCAAATCCCTCACTCAGCTCTAACAACTGTAAACTCTACAAATATTTACTTAAAGGTTGTGAATGCCCAAATTGATAGGAATCTGCTTTGCATTATCCAAATGGCAGACAAAAATGTTAGCCACATTTAGGTGCACTCACTCAAATTCAGTGATATTAGTTATTTCCTGTTTAAAATCACCCCAGTCACATCCTGTCCTACCTGGATTCTGCAGGGGCAGCTTCAGTAGAGGGTCTCACCTCGCTGTCTTCACTGTCCTGAGCCGATCTCCCCGGAGAGGCAGGCTCTCCAGTGCTGGTGCCTGTTGTGTGTCCTCAGTCCACATCTGGGCTCCAGGTTTTGTGGTCCCTGCTGCCACAGCTGCACCTCTTCCTTTCACAGTGAGACCCTTTGGGCTTGTTTGTGCTCAACTACCTAAGAAAACCCTCCCTGCTTCCCTTGTCCAAGGAAAGACAAGTATGCTCTAAGGCAACACCCTAGGTAACCCCTTCTCCAGCAGGCCCCAAGGTGTTGGGGATGTGCTCAAGGGCTATCCCCTACCTCATGCTTACCAGTGCTCACAAGGCCAAAGGTGAGGCACCTCCCTCTCTACTCTGGGGACCCCCCAAAATTGAAAGGGATTCTTCCACCACACACCACTTCCTGACTCCCCTGCATGCCCTGGCACCCACTCAGGTGATAGGGATGGACGCGTGTCCTAATCTTTATGTCCTGCTTCTTCTTCCCTGACCGCATGCCTCGCTCTGGGGCAAATGGGGTTGTGTCACAGATGGTCCCTGTGATATAAGTCCTTTAACTCCAAAGTCAAGAGTTTTGATGTCTTTTTAACGAGCTTCTCTGAAACTAGCCCGGACAAGAGCCACTGCTCTGGGACAGTACCCGTCAGGAGTCCCTAAGGCAGGGTGAGTGAGGAGAGGGTGGCCCGGAACAGAAACCCCCTGGAACTGCTCACACAACTCTTACCTGGCCTACATGGATTCACTGGGTTAGACTGTTTTACAAAAGCACAGATGCTGCTGGGGTAAAAAGAAAGCAGAAACACTTTAGTGTGCATTTATTGAGTCTGACATTTTCCGCTCAACCAGATGTGTGCCTGGGAGCTGTGAGGTGGGCGGTGGCCCGGGGGAGGCCAGCTCCTGACCTGGAAGGCAGGAGTGTCTTTGCCTACCTCCCATTTTCCTTCAGGCCACAGGGTCTGGCCCAAGCAGCAGCTTCCCCTTGGCTTTAAGTGCCGGTGGGGAGCCTGAGAGGGAGAGGTGGGGGCTGAAAAGAAACGAAGAGGTGGACATTTGTGCAAGGCGCTGGGCTTTGAGTGTGTGTGCAACTTTGCCGGCGCCGCCCTGGATTGCTCCATCACTCCCCAGGGCCTCTCTATGCCCCCCAGGCATATGCTGTCAGCAAGTCAAGGCCAGAAGCCACCAGGGGAGCTGGGCCCTGCTCGGGCTGCTGGAGGGTGCTCGGGGTCGGTGGGGTAGTGTATTCTTCCTCTCAGGCACACTGTCCTCAGGCTCAGCTCTTCCACTGTCCTTTGGAGCTCACTGGACGATACCGGAGAATGTGTTGATCGGCATCAGAAGGGGCTTGGCTTTTGTCCTTTCCACCTCCTCCTGTGCCTTGGGACATGACCCCTTGGACTTCTGGGCCCCAGAACAGGGTTCTGGGCAGGGAGAAACCTCGAATCTGTGGGTGGAGAGAGGACAGCTCAGGAGACCGATTGTAGGGATCCAGTTGGCCTGGGGCATTTTAAAGGTAGCACCATTATTAGAGAGTAGAGAGGAGGAACTTTCATGCAGGAAAGAAGAATCAGGACAAGAAAGAGCACTCTGCACCTGGTGGACATCCTGACACAGGACAGTGAGCCTGGCCAGTTCCCTTGAGTGCGCTTCCTCCTCGGGGAACCCAGTGAGCTTAGCATTAACTGGGACATGGCTGCCGAGCAAGGTCAGCCTGCGCTGGGGAGTCAAGGCCAGTATGGGGCAGGCAGCTGGATGAGAAGGGCTGTTGGCTGAGTGTCCGTATGAGTCCTAGGGAACTGTAGTGGCTGCTGTTGCAGGGTCAGCTACTCACTAGCTCTTCTTCCTGGCTTCAAGTCATAGGGCAGCGGCCCCAGTTCACATCCATCCGGGTCACCTTCCTAGCCCCAGGATCTGCCTGCTGCTTAGCTTTGCCCTACGGGCCATGGAGCCATAGGGCACTGGTTAGCCTCACCTGACCACATCCTGGATAGTGCGCCGGCTATCCTTGTCCAGAAACAGCGTCAGTGGCCTGTGGTCCTGGCTCTGGATCTGGATGTTGGCTGTCCGGAAAGTGTTTGTCACTGTCTGTAACAGAGAGATTCCTTGTGTGAGGGTCACCTTAGTGACCATCTTGTCCCCTGGACTCTGGTGGTTTCTTCAGTCCAAACACAGGGACCCTGGCTCCTTTCCTGAAAGAGACTCCGAGTAGTGACCAACCTACAGAAACCGCTACTGGGTGGCCCGTGGCCTTGGGTCTCTCTTTACTTCTATCGTCCTTTCCCCAGTCTGTTGTCTTAATTTCCAGCACAACCTTGAGGCTGTAGGAGGTGATCACCGGGTTCTCAGGTTATTGGGGTGCCTCCTCAATGACAGGCTAGTTGTTATGTGTGGTTTTCTAAGTCCTTACCCCAGGCAGCGGTTGGGACCAGGCTGGGCTCCAGGCAGGCTGTCATGAGCCCTTGTGGACTTGGTCCATCCCACATGCAGACAGCACTCCCCCACTCCACCACACTCCAGTCTCCAGGGCCTGAGAGCACCTCTCATTCAAGTGCTCGCCACCCTGACGGCTCATCAGAACCACCCTTCAAACAGAGACTCTGGTTGACTGGTTTGGAGTAGAGCCCAGGCACGGGCATTTTTGCTCTGCTCCCTATTGTAGACAGAGCGGAGAGCTGCTGACTCGCACCTTTGCACTGGCCTAGAGCAGAGGCATAGCAGCCGCCTCGTCTGAGGGGTCAAGCACATCCTGGCATTTCTGCTGAGCTTTTGTGGGGATGGAAGCAGGTTGGCCAGAAGTCTGTGGGCAGAGTGTGCAAGATCTCTCAAGAGGAGGGCAAAGCAGCGTCCCTAGCCAGACTACCAGGGTTCTCTTCCTGGCCCTGCCACTCTTGGCTGCGTGGCTTTGGACACATTTCCTAACGTCTCTGTGCTTCTGTTTCTCACCTATCTCAAAAAAAAAAAAAAAAAAAGTAAAGGAGATAATAAGGCAACAATAGCAACTACCTTATAGGACTGCTGTGATGATGAAAAGAGGCAGTATGTATTTAGTGTCTGGGACACGGTAAACTCTGTATTAGTGTTTCGTTTATCATCATTAGGTATAATTTTCTGAGGAGGAGCCGAGCCAGGTAACAGCCTCAGTTGCCAAAGGGAGCACTGTGGGAGCACTGTGGAGGTTCTTGCTCTGGTCTGCCTTCTCACCCAGGCCCTCCTCCTGTCACTCTATCTACAGACCTATGTAAGTCTGGACAGGCGGGTTATGAGAAAGACGATTTACCAAAATCTTGATAAGAAAGAAGGGGAGGGGGCTCCACACTGCTGTGTGAAAGAAGATGCAACAGATTTGCTGATGGGGAATTTTGGGTTGTGGCAAGCAGTTGTGGTGTAGGGGGCCCCAGGGTAGGCAGTGGAATCTAACTGGATGGCATCAGATGCTGGGACACCGTCAGCGGCCTACAGAAAGATTGCAGAGAGGCTGGAGTCCTGAGCGGGCTGGAGGTGGGGGAGCCAGGTGCATACAGTTGATGATAGCTTATGGCCCCTTGAACCGACTGCAGCTGGCGAGGGAAAGTCTCGGTCCCTAAGGTGAGGGGGTTGCCCACCTCAGTGACCCACTGACCGTTTATGGAAGGTGACCTCCCTCCCTTTGACTCTGCTCTTTCTACGGTGTCCGTCTGCTCTGGGAGGCTCTGGCAGGATCTGGGCCTCCATGACCCTGCCCTCAGAACACAGGGGTGCTCTCGGGTCTCCTGCCACCTGCTCATAGTGCAGGTAGGAGTCTTTTCTCCCCCTTACTGGCCCACATTTCTGCACACACCTGGACTTCTGGTTTTGACTCATGAGGACACCGGAAGTCTTGGATTTTAGTCTATACATGTGGCCATGACATCAGTTGAAAGGGCCAGATGCAAGTTTGCAAAGGGTCCCAGTCCCAGCTCATATTCCTAACCTCCTGTTTACTATGGGGTCCTGCATTCCATACCCCAAAGCCCCAATTCTACCAGTTATCACCCCTTTTCTATATCATACTCTCAGTCCCCCCAAAATAAGATCACAGTTAGCCCTTAAACTCATCAAGCCATTCACATGCCCTAGACCCGCTGCTCTCCGAGGGCCAACAACTTCACCCGGCTACCACACCTCCCCTCCTGCTCAGCATTTATCATATGGTCCATTTGGTCGGAACTTGTAGCTGGCCCTGCCTGATTCAAAGGGGAAAGCGCAGCAGCTGGAATTTCCCTCTGAGGGTCACTGCAGAGGTGAAAGGGAACTCACTGGGGGGATAAGTTTAGGCTTGCAAAAGCCCACGATCAGCTTGTTTAAAGAGGTCTTTTAAAACAGAAACTCCTCTAAGGAACTGACTTCGACAGAGGAAACACATGGGGATACACGGGGCCACCCTGGAGCCTAAAACCTAGACCCAGGGCTGGCCAGTAGGAAGGCACATTTCAGCTCAGTACTGTTCTCCTTTGGGCAGCAGCTGCCTCAGAAAAAGTGAGCTTGGTTTCAGGGTGAGCTCCCAGGAGGTGGAAGGTAGACTAAGTGACCGGGCTCTGGGTCACTTCACCTGAGGTAGTCGCCAGCCACTGCCACACAGGAGTCTGCCATTTATGGTGCTGCACAGGCTTCAGGGCTCTGTGGGAGCATGGCTGGGAGTGGAAAGGGGGCCTCTGCTCACCAGGGAATGTGGATGTACAGGGAGGGGGAGGAGCCTCAGTTAGGGCCTCCTGGGGGAGACAGCTCTCCAGTTTAATCCAGAAGGAGAAAAGGAATTATGGGAAAGAAGACGGGGAAGAGAAAAGGGCAAATGGATTTCAATACAAGCAGAGGGCACTGGCAAAGGCAGAGGTGTGGCAGCCCGAACACTCGCAAACACCGTGATGCAAGGGCCTGCAAGGGGCGGCGGAGCGAGGCTGGAGAGGAGGAGGCACTCCAAGCACAGCATGCCATGCTCAAAACCTGTTTTAGGCAGAGACGCGGAAGGTGGACTAAAGAGCACTGGATGGCAACGGGGAGAGCAACTGGAAGCTCCAGCATTTGTCTAGGAAAAGCGGGTAGATGAGGTGTCAACCCAAGAAGCTGCCAAGGCATAGTCACAATGCCTTAGTACATTTTCTGAGTAAAAATGTCAGGTGACTGACTTGTCCTGATTTGTCTGGAACTTTCCTGTTTTTACCATTGAAAGTCCTCTGAGCTGGAAGACCCCAGATATTTTCCCCCAAGAATGCTCCTTACACTATTGCTCATAATAGTCAAAAATGAAAACTTAAATGTATTATAAGAAATTGGTTAAATGGCCAATGCGTTCACCATGAACAAATACTAAATGAAATAGATTTCCTGACACAAAGCATAACAACCTAAGTAAGAAGCTACCAAGGCATATTCACAATGCATTAGTACATATTTTGAGTAAAAACGTCAGGTTGTAGACCGGTGTGATTGTAGCAGTAAACTGTGTAAAAATAGAGGGAAAAAAGGCTGGATATTTATCCCTCAAAATGTTAATTATTCTTTCTCTAGGTAATGGAATATTAGCAGATCTACTTCTTTGTGCTTTTTTGTTATTTCCCAAAATGAATAATTAAGCCTTTGTTTATAGGGACGGGGAGGATAAAGAAATAGAAGGGCTCAAGAGCGTCCTAGCCACATGGGGTGACTTTGCTACAGTGGAATGGGCAGTGGTAGAGGGCAGTGGGTAGGACTAAAGACCACTCTAAGCGTGTCTTTCAAGAAGAGTGCCCCAGAGGGAAGGAAGGAGATCCAGTGGTAACTGGAAAGGTAGCTGGGTCATGATGGACGATTTTCCTTTTGTTATGGAAAAGAGCTGAACATGGTTGTAGGCTGAGAGGAAGGAAGTAGAGAGGGAGAGGTCAAAGCTGGAGAACAGAGAACCAGAAGTGGTGGAGAAGAGCCTGAGGAGATGGAAGAGGACTGAGTGGTGCCCAGGATCCAGGCAAGGTGGGAGGTCATGGATTTGTGATGGCTAATTTCTACATGGATGTAGGACTGATTCATAGATTCCACAAACACTTGGCATACCTCTGAATGAGTGGCTTGAAGTGAGTATTTACCTGGGGGTGGAGTGGGGAAAGTGAGGGTGTCCAAGAGCATGGTTCAAATGTGATCATGGAATCCAAGACCAAGCTAAGTAAGGAAGTGAAGTCCCAAGGGGCCATCAGGAAGGCAAAAGGATGGGTCCTGTGTCTTTAGCAATGTGGGAATCCCTGTCAATAAATATCAATAGTCAAAGGGCAGCTGCACAGGCAATGAGGTTGAAAGAGCTGGCTTGGTTAGGTCAAAGGTCTGGCTGTTGTTGATGTGTCCTGCTGTCATTTCCTGGTCTCTGACCACCCTTCCTCCTGGGCTCCCAGCCACCCAACTTGTTTGGCTCGCTCATTTCCATTCTACCCAAGACTTACTGAGAAGGACCGTCCTGCCAAGTTGGAGGACTTGACAACCTCCATTACGCTGACATTCAGGCACATGTGGTCAGTAACTGGAGCAGCATTTGGGGAGCAGTAGGTGGGCCCTGAAACTGGAAGGAAAGAGATGGTGGTTGGGGACAGACAAGTGGGATTGTTTGTAATTCCAGGCCCTAAGAAGACTTCCATGAGCCCCTTGGGCCTCTGCCCGCTACAATCTTCACTTACACTCAGCTTAGTCCCCACCTCCATTCTAGCCAAGTTTCCATTCCCTTTGATCATGCATCTCTCTCCCCTGGTGAATCCAGTATTTCTGTATCATCAGGCATCATAGCTACCACCAAGTCAATCCCTTTCTTCACCTCCTTCTGTAGCCTTTTGTCCCCAAAAGTTAGATCCTTTTAGTTAGTGGTGATTTTTGTGAACTGGAGAGTATTTGTCTTGCCCCATGGGACAAACATAAAAAAAAAAAAAAATTCCACACAAAAATGCCACCAGTCTGCAGGCCCCATGCAGAGGATGAAAGTGAGCACATGGGGTCCCCTCAACTTCCTGCTGGACCCCATGACTGCAGAGACCATGTGTTCCTCAGTTGCAAGCGAATGTGGGACCTTTCTTTATCCTGGCAGCTCTACCACATCGGGCTCTACTCTGTGACCCCAGGGAGAGGGGCATCTGGGAGGCTCATTCAGCCTTAGTCATCCAACCCTCTCTCCTTTTCCACCCTTCTCTCTCTCTTCTAGCTCCTCACCTTCAGTGTCACTGGCTGGAAGGGCCTTCAGGACCAGCCCAGTGGCCCGCAGGGAAACGGTGACCTCTCTGGCCCGGTGGCTGAGAAGGGCCTGGGGAGGGGATGCAGGGATGTATGGGGTCCTCAGGACTATGCATGCATCTGCACATTAACAATCCTGCTTCCTGCCTCTGTCCCAAGAGTCCTGTCCTGTCTGTCACTGGTGCGGAGTAAGGAGCTAGCTGATAACCCCTTAGCACACTCTTAGCCTCGGGGCACATGCTTAACTTTCCAGATTAGGTCTCCAGGACATCTGGATAGCTAATAAGACAATAGTTTTAGGGAAGGGAACAGCCTCCTATTTCCTAAAATCAAGGTCTACTCACCTATGTATAAGGCCAGTTGCAACCTACCCACTGTTACAAAACTCTCCAAAGGCTGACGAACTCTGGGGCAGCCATAGGAAAAGAACAGATGTTTCCTCTTCCTCTGTTCCCCACTCCGCCCAGGCCCAGCACCTGCTTCCATGCCATGTACCCCTTGCCCGCTGACCTTCTGGTAGCAGATGGAGAGCTCCGCCCCAGGAACCTCCGTCATGCCTCTTCTCCTGGGCGAAAAACCTTCTGAGGAATCAGAAGAGGCTGTAAGTGGGACTTCCTGCCCCTTCCACCCATCCCCACTTTGGCTTCCCCTCCACACTGAGGCTGCAGCTAAGTCCTCATGGGGTGGGAGGGCAGCACCCCAGTGGTGCCAGCTGCCCTTCAGTATGGGTGACTTTGGAGGGAGCCATCAACAGAAATGGGATGGGGCTTCGTTAGGTGAGAAATGAGAGGATGTTCTGACAGCTTGACAATGGGGCTTGGAGAAACTGAGTGAGGGTACACTTTGGAAAAGGGAAACAAGATGCTCACCTCTGGGGAGCTTGGTGTCTTGAATCTTTACCTTCAGCTCAGTGAGAAAGATGTCCTCTGTAGGGTCTGGGCTCAGGTTACTGAAGACCTAGAGAGAGAAAGGGAGGGGTTTGGAAAAGGCCAGCTCTATCAGACACAGCCCCCCTCTCTCCCAGTAGCCCCCAAAGCCCAAGGATGTGGGTGACTGGAGAGTGCTAGATTCTGAGTTGTGTCCAGTGATTACTGGATCTGACTGTCCAGATGGCTACCCATTTATCCCATCTCCTGCTATATAGCCTATGTATAAATAGTGGGAGAAATTACTGAAATTGTGGGAGAAACTCTTGACTCCCAAATGGCCTATAAGCATTACTGTCTAGTGGGGAAGATGGGAGTGAGGGAATGAAATTCCCATAAGCAAAGGGGAAGAATGAAGGGGAGAATGAAGAGGGGAGGGCCAGAAAGGAGGACTTGGCAGTCTTGGACATGCAAACACGAGCAGAGGAAGAGCCAGGGAGACCTGGCTGAGGAAGTGTAGGGGAGGGAGAGTGGGTCCAGAGGCAAGCTGGACCAAGCAGAGGGGCGAGGCAAAGTATGGACAGGGCAAGAGAGCAGCTGTCAAAACAACATGGAAGAGTGATCATGGAGTTTTTGAAACGAGGTAGAGACAGGGTGGGGAGCTGGGCTGCGCTCACAGAGAGACCTTGTCTGGGCACAGTTTCACAGATGCCAACACCGTTGGCATCAGCCCACAGCACGATCATGTCCCAACACAGGCAATACCAAGAATATGGTGCAGGCTGTGGCCACCTGCCCTGCCCCTCCCATCACAGCTACCTCTTCTTAGGATCAAAGAAAGACAGTAAGAATTACGTAAGAACAACTGAGGACCCATTATTCCAACTTCCAGTAGGCATCTAATCCAGAGTAAAGTCCTACTTTGTGGAACTCTCTCCCAAGTCCCCTAACATAAGCCCAAATCCTATAACCTGTTCTCGCTTAAAGATGTGTTTATTTATGCACACAAGAACTGGGGTACAGACCAGAGGTGTGGGGGTGGTGGTGAGAGGACTCACCAGAGACAGAGTGGGGACAGAACAGGCAGATGGACTGAAATACACTGCTGAGGGGAGCAGTGGGCAAGACAGGAGAGCTCTGCTGGGCCATGTGGGTCAGCTTCCTGGCCGGGGATTGAACTCATGCTGCAGTGGCTGTGGCCAGCTTCGCAGTGCTGAGCTCTAACCTGTTGTGCCACCAGGGAGGCCCCAACCTGTTCTTTCTAAACCTCTTTCCAAGATGCTTCGCGGTTCTCTAAAGGTTCGTTTCCTCACTGCAGCAAGTCCAGAAACCCAACTTTTTTTAAATTATTATTAATTTACTTTTAAATGACATGCCTTTTTCATACATCCTTGTTATTTTTTTACAGTATAAATCTCTCCCCTCAGGTATGGCCACTGTAGTACCCCCACCATCAAAGCATCCCTTGTCCGGCACCACAGTCCATCGGGGCCACAGATGTGTCCAGGGTGCCTCTGGCTGAAAGGCAGTGACTGGTGGCTGGCCTTTGAGTTATCTGCATTGCTGGGACATTAACTTCCACTACCAGCTTGCGGGGAGTTCCCCATTTATTTGTTTCATGTTGTCTTGCTTTGCATTTTGGAAATCAAAGAAGGAAATGTGAACTCCTCACCTAGGTCAAAATCAGAAAGGTGATAAACTAAAGTCGTACTGCAGGACGCAGACTAAAGAACAAAATCTGGTAAGACAGGAAGACTGCAGCAGAGGTGCCATGAAGTTAGTCCCCAGACACAAAAATCTCAGGAGAGTGGGCACCCTGGGAATAGGGAATGGCCAATCAAGGAATGACCACTAGGTTTTCTATAAGCAGGGTGACTTCGCTTGAATTTCAGGGTAACACAGCTAAGTCCAAGTCTCTACTGCCAAGGGGAGAGATGTGTGGGGGGGGCAATGGGTGAATAGGGGCAGAAGGCATGTAGGAACAAGTGACAGGGAGCTGGGATTGGAGCTCAAGAGTCCCCTGTGTAGACATCTTACTGTGTGCTGACACACATGATCCCAGTAACCTGGGAGGTAGGTATCATTAGTCTTATGGGGGCCTGCAAATAGAGGCTCAGAGATGTAGAGTGACCTGCCCAGGGTCACAAGGAGCACAGCTGAGGTTTCAATTCAAGTTCTTGACAACCCTGGCTGACCGTCTGTGTATGTCCCTCTTTACCCAGGTCTTCCCCCATCCATTTACTCCCCTTCTATTCATTTGAATTCTCATGAAGTCTCCTTCTGGGGGGGGGATTATTTATTCCCATATTAAAGATGGGGAAAGGCCCTTCCTGGTGGTGCAACAGGTTAAAGCGCAGCACTGCGAAACTAGGTGCAGTCACTTCAATGTGAGTTCGATCCCTGGCCAGGGAGGTGACCCACATGCCAGGATGATCTGCCTGATCTGCTCCCCACTCTGTCTCTGGTGAATCCTCTCACCGCCTCTGCACCTCTGGCCTGTATCCCAGTTCTTTATATATAAATAAATGTCTTTTAAAAAAAATAAAGATGTGGAATATTGATTTAAGCAAGCTAGAAATGGCTATGATAACGTACCTAGCAAGCGGAGAGTCTAGCACACAAAGCCATGCTAAAGTATAGTCTCTTATCTTGGGGGACCCATACTTTTGGTGAGGAGTGATACACATCTGCAGCTATGCTAGAAGAGGCAAGAATGGATTTAGAGGAGTTGGGCCACCATGGTATGAGCATCAAGCGAGTCATAAGGAAATGGAGGTGGTGACCTCACCTGTCTGGCCCGGGTGACGGGGGAGACAGGTGATCCATCTTGGTCATAGGGTCTGGTGAAGGCACAAGCACTTGCTGCCATCCTGGGACTTTTCTACAACTATTGGAAAGGGAGCCCTTTTCCACCACGGCCATGAAGCCAGGTGTAGACATGGGACTTCTAGTGGACATATGCACACCAAGACGAGAGCTGAAATGAGGGAGAGAGTCCTGGGGACATTTTTGAGCCCCCCAGAGGGAAGTTTACCTTGACTGTGTAGATCTGGAAATAGATGGGTTGGGTGCCCATGCGAACATAGTAGGTGATGACATCTAGGATGAAGGGGTCCACAGTGCGGGATGTGTCCAGGGCAGGAGGCTGTGAAGGAGAGAATGTCTTGGTCACCTCCCTTCATCACCTCCAACTCTGATGCGTTGTTTTCTTAGAGAAACTCTAAGGCTCTACATTACCCTCCATGATAACTAGCCCAGTGGGTCATTCAGCACACTGCCACCCTAATTAAAATATTTCCACTCCTAATTAAAATATAACTGTCCAAAGTTTCACATCCTCAGGGATCCTGATTTATTCCAATTGCAAAAGAAATACTGAGCAATTCTGTGTGTAAGACACTGTGCTGAGTGTTTGGGGCAGACAAGATGCTTGAGGATGAAAAGGTCTGGAATTGGGTCAGCTATTCACCAGCCAGGTAACCCTGGGAGTAAGAACTGATTATGTGATACATCTTTCAGTTCTTGTTGTATATGAGTTGGTTTGAAAAGATAGGCAAAGTTAACTAACTATGCTAGCAGAGAAGAGAGGAAGAATTAACAAAATTAGAAATGAAAGGGGAGAAATCACCATAGATGGCAAAGAAAAAAGATCATAAGCAATTACAATTATATGTCAATAAATTCATTAACTTTGAAGAAATGGACAAAGTTCTGGAACAATATGGTTTACCAAGACTAAACCAGGGAATAACAGAAGAATTGAATGAACCAATCACAATCGTGGAAATTGAAACAATAATCAAAGATTTCCCCCAAAACAAAACCCCAGGGCCAGACAGCTTTACAAGTGAATTCTATCAACTCTTTAAAGAAGAACTTAGGCCTGTCATGCTCAAAAAATCTCTAAAATCCTCAGAGGGTATGTTCCCTAATACATTTTATGCCATTATCACCTTAATACTGAAACCAGAGAAACACGACAAAGCAAGCTATAGACCAATAATTCTAATGAACACTGATACAAAATCTTCAACAAAATACTAACACTTTGCATTTGACAATACATTACAAGTAGGATCAAGTAGGATTTATCCCAGAGATGCAAGGGTGGTTTAATATGGGTAAATAATCATTATAATACATTACATCAACAGAAGAAATTATAATCATGTGATAATATCAATAGCTGCTGAGAAAGCATTTGGTAAGATTCAATGTCCCTTTATGATTAAAAACTCTAGCCATGGTCCTCCCTCGTGGTGCAATGGGTTAGAGCTCAGCACTGCAAGCTAGCTGCAGTGGCTTCAAAGCAAGTTTGATCCCCTACCCTGGAGGTGATCCACATGGCATGGCAGACCTCTCCTGACCCGCCCACTGCTCCCCTCAGCAGTGTACTTTTTCGTTCTGCTACTCTGCTTCCCACTCTGTCTCTGGTGAATCCTCTCACTGTCCCTGTGTCTCTGGCCTATACCCCAGTTCTTGTGTACATAAATAAGTAAATCTTTAAAAAAACAAACAAACAAAAACTTTAACCAAGGTGGGACTAGAAGGAAACTACCTCAACACAATAAAGGTCACATATCACAAACCTACAGTCTATATGAGTTAATGCTGAAAAAGTAAAAGCTTTCCCTTTAATGTCAGGAACAAGACAAAGATGCCCACTCTCACCACTTCTACAGCCATAAATATTACCATTTACAGCAAAATGGAAAGTATTTGTGGGAATTATGTGTAATAAGGCAAGTAAGAATGGTAAAAAACAAGAAAGGCATGTTTATATGGTGGGCAATTTAACAAAACAAAATATTTATAAAAAATAGCAGACATTGATAAATAAAGTGAGATTTCTGAAGTTTAGAGGGAGGAAACCGAGAAAGCATCAAAGGGGTATTAAAAAAAGTTCTTTTCCCTAAATAAATAAAAATGAGGGCCCTCCCTAGTGGCTCCACGAGGTTACAGAGCAGCACTATGAAGCTAGCCGCAGCCACCTCAGCACAAGTTCGATCCCCAGCCAGGGAGCTGACCCACACAGCATAGCAGACCTATCCTGTCCTGCCTACTGTTCCCTTCAGCAGTGTATTTCATTCGATCTGCCTGTTCTGCTACCCACTCTGTCTCTGATGAATCCTCTCACCCCCTGTACCTCTGAACTGTACCCCAGTTCTGTATGCATAAAGAAATAAATCTTAAAAAAAAATAAAAATGAAACCCCCCAGATGATTCCAAGGTGCAGTCAAATTGAAAAAAAAAAAAATAAAAGAATAAACTGGGGCTTCCCTGGTGGCCCATTGGTTAAAATTTCAGTGCTACCAAGCTATTCCCAGCCACTATGGCATGAATTTACTTTCACAGTGAGGGAAGTGACCCACATGGTATGGCAGGCCTTTCCTGTCTCACCTGCTCCTCCCCTCAGCAGTGTATCTCAGTTTTTCTCACCCATATCTTATCAGATCCTATAATATGTCTTGTGACACTCAGGTATGGTCTACAGGAATACTGTTTCCTCCCAAAAGATGACACTGAAGAACTATGGCCTTGTGCTAATAATGCTGTCATTATTAACAATGCTCACACCATTTCCAGCTACCAACAGTGGAGCATAGATTAGATGTTCTTCCTGCAATAGCCTACAAGTTTTGAGAAAAAGATATGTTTGAACCACAGTTTAATTGTCCTTCATGTACATGCAGAGACATTTTCAGATATGCATTAATTAAAGAATATTATCCCCCCAACTTCTTCATTAGAATAAGAGATAGAAGAAGCACCCAATTAAGCAAATGATGAAGTAAACAGAGAGCTTCATAAAACGGCAAGTTAGAAAATAAGTATGTAAAAACCAATAGTCTTCTTTTATCGTAGGAATAAAGCTATTCGAATATAATGAGAGAAAGAGGCATCCACGGCTGTAAGGAAAAACTACCAAACACGAGGAATAAATTTAGTAAGAAATGAGTGAAAGCTGGAAGATGAAAACCCTACTCCTATACTGTGGGATTTATGAGGCGACTTGAACAAATGAAGAGTTACCTCGTGCTCCCAGCGAGAGTAACCTAATTTGCCGGAGATGCCAGTGTTCCTCCACACTTCAATCAAAATCCCGAGGGATTTCAAAAAACTTGACAACAAAATTTGAAAATTTATTTGGAAAGCTACATAAACATGCACAGTCTGAAAAGTTTTGAAAGACTCAAGGGGAGGCTTTCCCTCCTAGATCTTAAAACATAGGCTGCTACTTTGTACAGAAATGACTAGATCAATGAGAAAGAATAGGTATCCAGAAATAAGTCCAAGCATATGCATGAATTTAGTAAAGGATAAAAGTGGCATTTCAAATTGATGGGACAAGATGGATTCTGCAATAAATAACTTTAGGACAACTGGCTGAACATTTGGAAAAAATAAAATTGCATGCTTCATACTGAACACTGAAATTAATTGCAGATGGGTTATTTAAATGTAAAAACAGAGACATTAAAAGCAGTAAATTGTCAGTGCATATTTATTTAATCTTGGAGGGGAGGTCTTTCAAAGCACGGCTCCAGAGGAGAAAACCATAAAGGTAAAAGTGCTATCTATGCATTAATAAAAATATCCAACCTTTGTAAGTCAAAAACACTACGGACAAAATTGATAGGCAAATAACGAAGTGTGTGTGTGTGTGTGTTGCAGTATGGGCGGGGGGAGATCTGCATCACACAAAAAGAAAAAAGGACAAGAAGATTTTCTTAGGATTCCCAAAGGCCTTTTCAAACAAGTAAAAGATGAGCTCCCTCCTGGGGCTAGGGCTGGGGTGGCACTAGGTGTGTGACTCATCAAACATGCTCTGGAATCAAGCTCCCTGGTTCCATGTGGGAATCAGCTCCTCTTGGTTACTTTGGGAAAGCCACCTAAATTCTTGGTGCCTCAACCGCTTGATCTGTAAAATAGGGGTATGGTGGTCCCTCACACCAGTGACACAATGGCACATCTTCAAACAACTAGCCACAACAAATGTTGGCGAGGATGTGGAGAAAAAGGAACGCTCCTGCATTGCTGGTGGGAATGCAAACTAGTACAACCACTATGGAAAACTGTTTGGGGTTTTCCTCAAACTGCTAAACATGGAGCTTCCAAATGACCCAGCAATCCCACTCCTAGGTGTCTACCCAAAGGACACAAAAACACTGATTCAAAAAGATACCTGCACCCCCATGTTATTGCTGCTTTATTTACAATAGGAAAGACATGGAAACAGCCCAAATGCCCAAAAGTAGGTAACTGGATTAAAAAGATGTGGTACATATACACTATGTAATATTTTACTCAGCAATCAAAAAAGATAAAATCATGCCTTTTGCAGCAATATGGATGGAGATGAAAGGGATCATGCTTAGTGAAATAAGCCAGAAAGAAAAGGAAAAATACTGGATGGTTTTACTCACAGCAGGAACATAAAGGACCTGGGGGGTGGGGGTGGGGGAATAGTAATGAACAACTATATACCAGAGACATTTTGTGGGGGTGGAGTGGGGAATGGGATCTTAAAAAAAGGGGGGGGTAGTGCACATGACTATGGTGATGGCACACGGGTGAACTGGTGATGGGAAGCCCATGGGGATTGCAGCTGAGATGGGAAAAAAACTCCCCCCCCACCAAAAAAATTTTGTAATAAAACAGCTATGACCATACAATGAGGAAGATCTCTTTAATCAATAATTCCAGGAAAACTGAAAAAAATAATAGAGGTACGGTGGTTGTCGCCCCTACTGGCAAGAGTGCCTACTTGGGAGTCAGGGTGCCGCATGCAAGTGCTCAGAGCAGCGCTTGGCCCACATCAGACTCAGGAAACAGGAGCTCATTTAATCAGAGAAAGGATCACAGGAATCTCATGAAAGAAAGAATCTAAGTTGTCGATGCATTCACACAAGGATGCTGGACTTGTCCCAGTATACTGGTTAGGGTTGTCCTGTTTCCCCTTCCTGCTTTGCCCCTACTGGAGAGCAGGGGTTGGAGTGGGAGGCCCTTGGCTGATTCCTGATCAGGTGTCAAAGGAAGTCTCTGGACGCTGACCCTCCCAGCGCCCTCCTCCCCTCTGCCGCTGCTGACCTTACCATCTCTGCCAGCTTGTGGATGGCGGGGCACAGGGTGTTCACAGTTATCTCGTACCACGGGTCTGCCCGGCCCAGGAAGGCGGCTAGCTCTCCCAGCTCGGAATTGGCATAAGCAGCAGGCACCTGGATGGGACAAAGAGATGTGGCAAAGCCTCTGGCACTTTCTCCCTGGACACCCCCCTCCCCGGTGCCAGACCTAGGCAAACTCAGTACTAGCTTTGTGGATGTGGCCAGCCCCCCTTAAGGACTCTACACTTAGAAGACTGTGAAAACTGTTTTATATCTCAGATGAAGCTGAGATGCAAACCATTGAGCATCACTTGCCAGGGAAGTCGGACCACCAGCCTCCTAAGAGGAGGGCAGAGTATCACTGTGCCTCAAATGCTCCCCAATACGAAGCAGAACATGCAACAGAAACAAAGGCTGCAGGTGTGCCTTCACTTCCCGGACAGACCTACTGCTGGAAATTTCCCTTTCTGTGATTCCAGGCTCTGTGTGTGCCTGTGAGCCCCACTCTGAGGGGGTGAAGATTGCCATCACTTTCACTGGAGAAGCACAGCAAAAGCCAGCACAGGCAGCTGCCACCTTGAGAGAACACCTCTCCGGCCACTTCCAGCTCCCAGAGCCAGGGTCCCTGCCTCTCCCAGCCCCGTGTCCTAGGCAGGGTGACGCTGGCCCCTGCAAACCGGTGGGAGGCTGCAATGTGTCCCTCTCCAGCTCCTAATCCCCAGCCCCTCTCCAGACAGACACCCCTGCCCCCTCCCCCCGCCCAGCTACCTTAGGCGCCAGCACGGGGATGTAGTAGAACTGCAGGCTCAGTCTGGGGGTGAGGCAAAACTTCTGTGTCTCTCGTATCCTGCCAAGGAGCAGCACGACATGGTGGTGAGGCCTTCACAGTCTTGGTGACGCTTCCACATCCCTGGTCTTCCTATCGTTATCTGACTGTGGACAATCTCCTTCACCTCCCCAGCCTACTTTCTTCCCTATAGACTGGTGTGCAGGAGGTCGCAGGGAGGATGACGGAGCTCCTGAGCACAGGCAGTGAGCCTGTGCCTGCTTCTCAGCAGTGCTCCCTGATGGCCACACGCAGGAGGGAGCAGGCACCGACCCTGCCATCCCACCCTGGCCTCTGCTCCTGGTCCTTCCTCGCCGCTACTTCATCCTCCATCAGCCTCCACCAGCCCACACCTGGCCCACCGGTGCCCCACCATGCCAGCCCCTAGCTGCCCCCCTCAGGGCCCTACCTGAGGCTGTGGTAGGCCCTGGCCAGGCGCCCCAGCATCCTGTCGTCCCCCAGAACCAGCACCCGAGCTGTGTGCAGCCGGGAGACCCCGGGCAGCAGTTCCCCATCTCCACTGGGCCTGCCTGTCCTCCGGTGCAACCCCGGGGGCACGTCCCAGCTGCTGGGCATCAGGATGTACGGGGGCCACGCCCGCTTCTTGATGCCGCCCTTGCGCTGCAGCCCCCCACGCTCCATCTCAGGGCTGCTGGGGGAGAGAAGCTCGTCAGCACCCAAAGGAAGGTCCCGCTCGATGCCACTGTCGGTGGACAGCACCGACGCCCGGGCTAACTCCAGGTCCGGCAGGAGGCCCTGCAGATCCAAGGCTTCCAAGTCAGCACTGAGGCGCAGTTGGGAATGTGGGCGCAGGAAGTGTACCAGTTCCTTCCCTGGGGTGCAGAGAAAAATCAACCGTCAGGGTGGAGAGGCGGCATTAAACCAGCAGGGCCTCACCCCCATGAGGCCAGAGGTCCCGTGTTCCTCCAACACTGTTCAGCTGAACAGAAGCCCCACAAGATGACAGGAACAAAGGTCCCGTGGCCAGCAAAGACTGCCACCTCTTGCTGAGTTCCCCAAGTAAACACGCTCAAGGCTCCGAGAAGTCCCGCAGCAAAGAAAGCAGGTAAACAAACCACAGACCTCCGAACTCTTCGGTCCTGTTTTATATCTGCTCATTAGCAGCGCCCTGTTCTCCACACCCCATAACCTGCCCAGGACACAGGTGAGACTGCCAACTACAGGCCTTCTAACCTGCCTTCATATCCATGGGGAAACTGAGGCCCGCAGAGAATAGAGACTCGGGTGACCCAGTTCACCAGGCAAGTAACTCCCACTTCGACTTTTACCCGTTTCCATGTATCTCCCTTGGTAAGAGCCAGGGGAACAGTGAGACAGGAGCCCCAGTATGGGGTGCATGTGAGACAAGGACCCCTTCCAGGCCCCTTCCAGGCCCAGGAACCATAACTGTGACTGCTTCCACTGTGCAATGGCGCCATCACAGGCAGGTGAGGCCAGTGGCTAATGCACTGAGCTATTCGGCACACACACACACACACACACACACACACACACACACACACACACACACACACTGCTCCCCAGAGGAGGTCAGGGTCCTGGCACTTACAGAGCTGTTCCTCGTCCGTCCACAGATGGAAGGAGATGTGTGGGCTGGGCAGAGGGATGCTTGGCGGCCGGTCTTGCGGGGTGTTACCTGAAGGAAGGAGCAGGCTGTGGGGACCGTGCAGGAGAGGACTGTGGAGTCTCTACCCTCTCACCTCTCCAGCTCCTGTAGGGACTTTAAAGGGGTGCAGAGACCCTCTCTTGCAAATCAGGTCTTGTGAGTCTCCTCTCCCTCTCTGTCCCACCTCAGGGCCTAACCCTGAGCTGGCTCCTCCACCCCCCAACCCCCGCCACAGCCTCACTGTTTCCTGCACACTTCCTACCTCAGTCTTCAAGACCCTGCACTAGGAACTCACTGTGTCTCCATTGCCTTCTGCCAGCCTCCCCCATTGCTCTTAGATGCCTGTCTACATCCAGATGAGGAAGAGGCCTCTGTATTTCTCAGGGCCTCACCTAGTCTCTCGCACACAGTACACACCCCAAGTGTGTTCGCGTGGGTGATGCTGAAGGCACCTTTTTAGCCATGTGCTCAGAGCAGCAGGAACTCTGGCAGTCCAGGAAGAGACCAGGACAGCCCGTCCCCTGCTCCTCCTCCTTCCAGAAAACTTCCTGACCACTCCAGCCCAAGGTCACTTTCCTCTCCAGGGACCATACTGCTGCACACTGGAGCACACCTAACTTGCAAGCCCGGGGTTTTGTTTTTAAAAATTTATTTATTTATATATACAAGAACTGGGGTACAGGCCAGAGGTGTGGCAGGTGAGAGAGGATTTACCAGAGACAGAGTGAGGAGCAGAACAGACAAATGTGCTGAAAAGCAGATCAGGAGAGGTCTGCTGTGCCATGTGGGTCAGCTCTCTGGCAAGGGATTGAACTCATGCTGCAGTGGCAGTAGCTCACTTCATAGTGCTGTGCTTTAACCCGTTGTGCCACCAGGGAGGGCCCGAGCCTGGGCTTTTGCCTCTCACCTGCCTGTTTCACTTCCTTATAGCGTGCTTCCCTCTTTAGTGAAGCTGCAAGGCTTCCTTAGGAAGCTGCAAGGCAGCCAAACTTCAGGGAACACTTACTCCTGCCAGGGACTCTTCACCTCCTCTTATGCACATTATTATCTGTGCACAAACACTATTTCTGGGGAATATTATTATCCCCACCTTACTTTGCACAGAAAGGCAAAGTAAGTGGCCCGAGATCACGGAGTACATTGTAGAGCCAGTACTGAGCTCCGGCAGCGGGTTCCTGAGTCCATGTTCCTGCCCAGGACATGTTCTCAACCATTTCCCATGCTGCCCTTCCTTGTAGGCTCCACAGAGGTGCTGGCTGGTCATTAAGCTGAGCAGGGCAAGTCTGGGTGGCAGGCAGGTCTGGATGTGGCGAACAAATTCCAAGAGTACGTTGGGATACAAATCAGGGCAAAGCCAGAAATACATGTTCTGGGACCCTCTTGGACCTCATTTCAGGGTTTCCCAATGCACATGAAAGTGCTTCCCACCAGTGTCTGGCATCGTTGCAGCATCGTCACATAAAATTCCAAGTAGAAAGCAAGTATGTGAAATAATAGTTTGTGCTCCCATGCAATATGAGTGACGCAGACTCCGCTGCTGTTTCTGCTGTGCTCCACCTGACCTGTGCACCCTCCGGCTACTAGTGTGGTGGAGACCTAGGTAGCGGGCTTCAATCTAGGCCCTGCTACCTACAGTTGGGTGGTCTTGGCAAGTGCTTTAGCCACTTTCTAATTCAGTTTTCTTATCTATAAAATGGGGGTTAGGTTCTCCCTGGTGGCACAGCGGGTTAAAGCCAGCACTTCCAGCTGGCTGCAGCCACTTCAGTGCAAGTTCGATTCCCACCCCGAGGGTGACCACATGGCGCGGCAGACCTCTCCTGACCTGCCCACTGCTCCCCTCAGCAGTGTACTCCGTCAGTTTGCCTGTTCTGCTCCCCACTCTCCCTCTGGTGGATCCTCTGACCACCCCTGCACCTCTGGCCTGTACCCCAGTTCTGTATGAATAAACAAATCTTTTTTAAAAATGGGGATTGATAATAGCTGCTTTTAAAAATCTCACTCTAAGGTCTTATTGATCTAATGTATGTACTATATTTAATTACATATAAAGTGTTCAGAGCATATCAGTTGTTACTCTGCCAGAATTGCCCACCTTCTTAGCCCAGGGATCTGGAACAGGCCCTCGGTCCTCACATCCCCTGGAGCTGCCTAGGGTCCTGCCCCATCTCAGTCTGCAAACCCTACGCAGCTACAGCACTGCTCTCTAGCGCCCCCATGCAGGGTCTCCGATCTCAGGCTCCTCGGGTCCGCCCGTCGCTTACCGCCGCAGCGCCCCCTGGCGGCCGCCGCTGGCCCCAGCAGCGAGCTGTAGATTTCCTCCAGCCTCTCCAGGTGTTCCTCCCGGCTGGGGTTGGGCTCGCAGGCCGTCTGCTCCACCGCGGCCACCACCGCGTGGAAATAGCGCACCAGGGAGCGGCGGGAGCTGGCCTGTTGGAAAGCGACGTCAGATACTGGGTCCTGGCCCAGCTCCCACCCCAAGTCCGCAAGGCCTTGGCTCCGCTGCAGGGGCCCCACAACTTGCTGGATGTTTCCTGTAACTGCGGGTCCCCCCTCACACTTGGTGCCCTGCAGCTCCCTCCTGGCCGCATACCCAAGCTCTTGGATCAATGCCCTCCCCCTCCCAGGCTGGACTCCAAGAAGGCTAGGGTTTTGTTTACAGCTGCACCCCAAAGCACCTAAAATATCTCCTGGCACATAGTAGGCGCTCCATAAATATTTGCTGAACATTCCCTAAGTTTCTGTCACTCTATATTACATGCTGACATACTGCCTTTACTATATTCTTGTTGTTATTATTTTTCTTTAAATCAGCTCACTTTTTGGGTTCAAAATTATTTCAGGGGGAACTTTTACCGTTGATGCTTTAAATAAAAAGGCTAATGTCCCTTGTCATTAAGAGAAAGTAACTAGGATGACGAGAATAATCACAAAGAGCAATTATGAAATTCTAGCCAGCTTCCGTTAAAGAGGAAGCTGTTAAAGAGGTGAGGGCTGAGGCAGCAAACTGAGCCTTTCTCTTTCATGAAACAGATATGCCTAGGCTTCTGACTCTGTCACTCCATGCTCTTCCACCGTTGAACCCTGAGAAGAACTGCCCTGGGTCATGATTTCTGGTCACTCTTCACGCCCCGCAACCCCCTTCGCCCCCCAACTAACCCCAGCTAACTGAGATGCCGGGTCCAAACAGGTGATGGGGCAGGCAATAGGACTTTAACGGATCTCCATTCCATGCCAGGGTCCTTAACTTTCCGAGCTAAGCAAAAATGAGGGCACCGGTAAGTATTTGCTGAATGAACATGAGCGAGCAAAAGCAATGAGAGTGCTATGGAATGAGAGTTAGAAGGGGCCACACACACCACCCCTTCTTGTTGCTTCATTTGATAAATACATTGATTAAATATTGATCCAGTTTCCACTATGTGCCAGACACTTGTAGGTGTCAGGGTGCTGCAATGAACAAAACACTGTCTTCGTCGGGCTTAGGCTGTAGTGTATTTGTGTGCGTGTGATAACAGGCAAGTTACCTACAATTTATGGCATGACACAAAACAGTACGTGCTGAAGAGAAAATAAACCAGAGAAGGAGGATGTGAAACTGGAGGTGGGGATGAAATTTTAGACAGTGTGATCAGGAAAGCCTCATAGAAAGGCGACTTTTTTTAATAAGATTTATTTATTTAAAGTATGCTTACAAGAACTGGGGTACAGGCCAGAGAGGTACAGGGGGTGAGAGGATTTACCAAAGACAGAGTGGGGAGCAGAACAGGCAAGCTGATGACGCACACTGCTGAGGGGGGCAGCGAGTGAGACGGGAGAGGTCTGCCTCGCCATGTGGGTCACCTCCCTGGCCGGGGATCAAACTCTCCTGCTGCAGTGGCTGCGGATAGCTTCATAGTGCTTTAACCCTTTGTGCCACCAAAGGGGGCCCACGGAAAGGTGACTTTTAAGCAAGGGAATGAAGGAGAAAGCCATGTGGAAGGTGGAAACTTTTAAGCATAAAGAACCACATTTGCAAAGACCCTGGGGCCAGAGTGTCTATGCTAAAACCGAGATGGGGCTTAGGTACAATGTGAGAGGGCATTCCTCCAAAGGTGGCTGTGCGGGTACAAACCCTGACAGTCACTTTGCATCTGTGTGACCAGGAGTAGGTCATCAACTTCTCTGTGCTTTAGTTTGGATAATTATATTCATTGGCAATGAGAACTTTTAAATGTGACTCATGTAAAGTGTTTAACACTGTGCCTAGAATACAAGGGTAGCCATGATGATTATCATCGTCATCATTATTACAGCAATTTAGCAAAATGTTCGCTGCTGATAAGTCTGGGTAGAGGGAGGTGAGTTTTATTTTCTTCTAGGGCTGTACTGCATATTTTTCTTAAATCAGATTTTCCATGGTAAATACATATTCATTTTTGATTTAGGGGGAGAAGTGATAAGTAAACAGAAGGGGGAAGTCCAGTTGTGTGTGGGGACCTGGGCCAGAACCAACAAGGGCTAGCTGGGGCTGTTACCTGCAGCTTCCTCTGCAGAGCCCCTGTGTGGCAGGCCTCCCCCAGGGCCGCTTGCAGGGCGTGGGAGACCACGTGGCGCATGCAGGCCTCCGGCGTCTGCTGCACCTGGGCGGCCTCTATCTCCAGCAGCAGGGCACTGCACACCGAGGGCGATACCAGCTCAGGATCCACGAAGAGGAATACTCTGAGGGCAGGGGCAGTGGGGAAACAACGCAGATGAGGCCTGGGAGAAGGAGCTCTGGAGGGGCCCTTTCAGAGTCTTGTAGTCCGCCCCATCCCAGGCTACTTAGTTCCTCAAAAGAAAAAACAGAGCCTCAAATTCAAAAGTCTATAGGGGGGCAAAATAGGGAATGGTGGAAACTGTGGCAAATAAAAGTGTGCACGGCCCTTCGATAGAGGCACTGATCCCTCTAGGCTGCTCTGGTCTCTTGTTTAGGTAAGGTCTAACCTGAATCTTCTTCCCTGGGTGTCACGGCCCATTAACCACATCACCTCTAAGAGCGTTCCCTGCTGAAACTGGAGCTCTGAATCCCGAGTGAACACCACCTTCTCTCAGCAGCCGCCTTCCCCCAGCCCTCCCTCCTTATTCAACCGTGTCAGCCCCAGCCTCTCTCCACTGCTAATTCCTCTGGATCCCTTCAGCTCCCTGTATCCTTGAACACACAGCTTCAAGCTATGCTCTTCAGTGCCAGTTCAGTGAGGTACCTGCAAGGGAGGAAGCTATGAACCCCAACTCCATCAACTCTTCTCCCCAACATGAATTGCAGGCATTTCTTCAATCTTATCTAAAGGGCTAGGCACACAGGTGAAAGCACCCACATATTTTGTGGTGTGAATAGGGCCTGAACATCCTCTATGTGGATAAGCCGGTACCTGGCTGGTTGATTCCCTATTGTGGCCAAGGGCACAGGATGGGGGTGAACAAAGGAAGTCCAGAGTGGTCCAGTGGTCATGTCCATCCTCTGCACTGGGCAGGATGACTCTGAATCCATCCCAAGAATGGCCTGAGCTGCCAGCAAGCACACCCATCCACCCTTGGAAAACCAACCACCCGCTGGGCCTGTGAATCCACTGCAGGGCCCCTCTCCATCCAGCCTCCCCTGGCCCTCCCCAGTGAGCAGTCACACAGCCCCTGGGGCCACTCACCTTTCCTGGTAGGGATACAGCTCACTCGTCAAGTTCTGCTCGGCAATGACCAGCCTTTGGTACAGCGTCCCTGTGAAGTCGATCAACCCGAGTCTGAGCCCCACTCCCGATTTCCCACAGCAAAGGCTGTGGCTTTTGACTTCCCCAGAATCTAGAGAAAAGATCAATAACTTGGGTAGAGCCGCACAGGAGACCTGGGAAGGCTTCGCCGCCAGCTCTTACCTGGGACCGCCATCTCGGTTTTCAGCCTAATGGCACAGTCTAAGGCCACGGTGCAGTAGGGGGCGGGCAGTGTCAGTAACCTTGTGCAGAAGGCATAGGTTCTCCGGTACAGCTCCTCTGTGATGCCTGTGGCCTGGATGGAAGGAGGAGTTGGAGTACCCTGCACCCCAGGTCACGACAGACCCTGAGTGGGGTGGAGTCAGAGGAGAGGAAGGTAGGGTCTGCCGGACTGGGCTCACACACCTCTTCCAACTCTGCACTTTCAGCCTACTCTCCTAGCATCTGCCAGGTTTCTTATCGAGATGGAAATTCATCTCCCCAGCAAATCAGCTCCCCTCCAGAACTCTCTGTGCCGTCAAGGCAATGCATGTCCCCTGGGCCTCCCTAATTTCATCTCCGCGGGTACTGGGAAGAGGACACAGGAGTGCAGAGAACCCAGTTTGGCACAGGCAATCCAAGAGCAAGTCTTCGAGGCTGAGAGGAACGTCCATGGAGGCGAGAGCAGGGTGTCCAGCCCTGCCACTTGGGGGTCACCACGCCACCCTGGCCCTAGCGCAGCTCACCTTAGCGAGCACGTACATTAGAGTGTGCAGCAAGGGGATGATGACATGCCGGAGGTCCTCCCGTTCTGCCTAGAAAATATATTATGGGACAGTTACTAAGCTGAGGGCTGAGGGGGGCAGCTTGTCTTGCCCTAGCAAGAGGCATTCTTGGGAGGGTCTGGGGAAGGTAGGAGATGGAGTGGAAGGCTGTGTCCTGCTAAGCCAAGGGCAAAGAATGAGGGGCATAGTCTGTCATGGGCAGAGGAATGTGGGGCAGGGGCACAGGGTGGGGACACAGCTGTGGGGGTGCTGTGGGGGAGGGGCCACATCAACTCAGGGCAGGAGCTGTCAGCAAAGTGACAAGTCCCCAGCTTGGGGGCCCCCTTCAGTGCCGTCACCCTGCACAGTTACTCCTGAGCATTGGTGGTGAGGGTCATTTTAGGTGCAATGATGAGGGTAGAAATTTTTTTTTTTTAAAGATTTTTATTTTATTTGTGCATACAGAACTGGGATACAGACCAGAGATGTGGAGGGTGAGAGAATTCACCAGAGACAGAGTGGAGTGCAGAACAGGCAGATCAACGAAATACACTGCTGAGGGGAGCAGCGGGCGGGTCAGGAGAGGTCTGCCACGCCATGTGGTCACCTCTGGGGCAGGCGGGAATCAAACTCATGAGGAAGCGGCTTTAGATGCTCAGTGCTGTGCTTTAACCCGCTGTGCCACCAGGGAGGGCCGAGGGTAGAAATTTTTAATAGTTATGCTTTTATGTGTCTACGTACTTTCTGTCTCTGACAAGTGATGTGAGTTATTCATTTATGGATTAGTTATAGAGTTCCCTTCCCAGTTAACTCAAAAATAATGGAGTCAGTGAAATACAATGTTGCTTATAAAAAGGCACAGCTGGGAGAGAAATGCTGCCATTATCTTGCAGATATTTGGCCTATGGAAGACCAAAGTCTGGGGGACACAATGCAGATGGGACTGAGACCAGTCAGATTGTCTCTTCTGCTGGCTGTCTTGCTCCGCCTGCACCCCAAGCCCTCGAACCCACCTTCTCCAGTTCTCGGAGTAGAATTCTGACGAGCGCCGGGCTCTTGCCAGGATCTCGCTCCACCTTCTTGTGCAGGGACCATCTCCACATGCCTGCGCCAGGAGAAAGGGGAGCCCAGAGTAACCAAATGGGGTGAGAGTCCTCAGAAAGACCACTCTGAGCAGGTGCCTCAGCCCTGGAGCCCCTGGAGACCACAGCTTTGACCTCTTAGGCAAGTGCTTGGCTCCAGGGCACAGGGGGCTTCTCTGCGTGGGAGTTCTGACAGGTCACCCTTTGTGGACAGAGAATTCCAGGGCAGAAATGGGGGAGGTGGGACACTGGTAGAGACAGGCGTGTACATGTGGCTTATGGCACAACAATGGTTGCAATTCTGGATGTCACATGTCCTGGAGTGCTAAGGGGAGTTTGAGGAAGGAAGTTAAGAAAGGGGGTGCAGATCCCCAATCTGTGCTGCCACTATCACTAGGAGGGTCCTCTGAGTTCTAGGCATTTCCTGCAGAAAGGGGGTATGTGGGAAGCCTCTCACTCTGAGCTCCGGGCCGGGGCACTTTCCTGGATCGGGGGGAGATCGGGGGAGTAGAGGTGGGCAGCACGCCTGCCTGCTGGCTCTTACCTTGGTTGCTCTGCAGGGCAGGAGTCTGGGCGCTGAGCTCCCGGAGCACAGCCTGCACGCTCCGCTGGAGGTCCAGTTCTATATCTGGGGGTCAGGGGGCACTGAGTCAGGTACTTGGAGCTCAGCCCCCCTGGCCTTACCTCCTCTCTCTCTGAGAATGTCTTTATTCCCTCCAGGGATGACTCAATCAACCAAAAGCTGGTGGCCAGCACAGAGCTAGGGCTAGACATAGCCCTTCAATCAGCATTTCTCTGTTCTTTGTAAAACTGTCAATTCCCAAGTATCACTGGATACCTCCAATGATGAGCAAGACAATTTTAGATGATACACAGACAATACTAAAATCTGAAAATTACTTTCACATGTATTAGAAAAAAACATACTTGTTCTCCAACCCTTACATGAAACTAAAATTTAAAGTCAAATATACAAGCAACTCTCTCCATGACCAAACTTCACTCAGACTCCAAAGAGTTCCCTTCTCCTTTAGGTCCTGACCTTGGTCCTTGGCTTGCCTTTGCTCTGCCTCACCCAGTTTTGACAAGAATTCTGTTGTCAGTAATAAGAGAAACCCCCACTCTTGGTATCTGATCAATGCTTCATCCCCCGCCTTTGATTTCTCAGTCTTTGATCTGTCTTTAGCAAGAACCCTGTTAGATTACTCTAGCCAGAAACCCCCATCTCTACCCATGGATCCCCTACTCTGTTCATTGGCTCTGAATTCCCAACTGTCTTGGCTAATTCAGAGTTGAGCCCCATCTCTCTCCCTCATTGGAGGTCTTGAGTAAAGTCTCCCTAACCATTTAAAGCAGTGTCAGAGTAAATTTTAATTCAACGGTGTGGCAAGTTGATATTGCAATGGAGTGAGGCGGTACAGAATAACTGACATCTGGAAAGTGGGCGGTCCAGAAATGTGCCACATTCATCTCCCACCACAAGGAGTTTGCTTGACCAAGGGGGTGAGGGTGGGGGACTTTGTGCTGCTGTGCTGTGAAAGCCATGGTTTTGTGCCCAGACAGCAAGCAGTGGGCAGTATCAATAGACTTCCAGTGAGATACAGGCCTTCTCAAAAGGCTGACTTTGGCTCAGGAATTTCCCAATCACCCGGCTGAGCATTTCTCCATCACCCTTCAGTCTAAAGTATTTCCACCCAACCCTTCTCTTTCACCTTCATTTAAAGTCAGATTTCCAATGGGGTCTGCCAGCTTCTTCCCATTTTCTCTCCCCTATAACCCTGCCTTGGTAATCTCATTCCAGGAAGCACTGGACTAACACCAGGAGCATGAGAGACCCACCCTGAACAACAAATTCCTCTTTATGATCAGCTCCAATCAAGAGTGTCTATAGCAGCCAGTACTCATTCTCTGGTGTAAGACAAGACAAACCACAGAGCCTGGGGTTCCCCTTTTGTCATGGCTGTCAGGAAATTTACAGCTAAGTTGAGGCCAACCTCAAAAAATGAACTCATCTAAATAGCACAGACTTCCCTTAGGCACGCCTGCTTTACATTCTACCAAACGTGTGTCTTAATTCCTTCTGATTCCTATGGAAGCAGGAGATTACAAATTTTAGCCAGTTAGAGTTCTGTTCAGGAGTCAGAGTTTGTTTAGTCCTTGGGTCTCAGAATAGCCACTCCATGGTTTTGGGGTGGGCCATGGGTGTAGGGTCACCTGGTGTATCTGAGATCCTTACATTCCTCTTGCTTGTCCCCCACTTGTCCACCAGGACCGTGTCAAGGGCTTATTCCGAGCCAACTCCAAGGTGAGAGCAGGCAGATAGTGGGCAGCTTATTACAGCCTACCTTTGCCCACCTGGCCACTATGCTGGGCTATATAGTATCTCCCCAAGCTGGAGGAAATCATGAAGGATGGTCACTAACTGTCTTCTACCACCTCCACTTTGCATGAAGATTCAATGAGTTTAGTGCAAGGTCAATTATTAAAACATTGGCATTATGCATTATGTCTTCTTCCTTCCTCTCTCTCTCCCCCCCACCCCCCCGTCTCCCTTTACTCCCCTTCCCCCACCCCCTTGATCACAGACTGCACACAGACTTACACATGTGATTGCTGTGATTTCCTCCCTACCTCCTGAAGGGCAGCCAAACTTTTGTCTTCTGAACCCTAGTTTCCCCTGCTTTGCAGAGGGAGTTAATTTTTTATGTTTCAGAGAAAAATAGAGAAGTTGCCAATATCCCCGGGAGACAACCCCAAATAAACGTTGTTTTCGAAAGTCTGGGTAGCCGGAACAAACTCTCAGGGTCCACATCTGGCTTGCAGACGTGTTTTGTTTGGACTTGTAGAGTGTCTTGCAAAAAACTGAATTAGCTGCCAACATTTACAAATCAGGAGACTTTGCATAAAAGTTTGGGTTTCTGGCATGTCTTGAAAATCTGTTGACACTGGGCATGTATCCATCTCACATATGACATACCACAGGGCTGCATCTTCTCTATAGATCTTACAGTCCCCAAGTTCCAAGTTTCATTCAATTACATCCTCTACCTGGTCCTTGAATGTCAGGTCCCAGTCAAGCTACGTGTCCACAAAGGACAGGAGGAATGTCGCTGCTTTTATTTAAAGAGGAGAGCAGCAAAGTAGATTGGATTTCCCAAGACTTCAAGGGTAGAGGGGTAACAGGGACCCAGGGAATGAGGCAGACTAGGGCCGGTAGGGATATAGTTTAACAGTAGTGGCAAAGGTCGCAGCCGAAGGTGGTTGAACACTCAACTCTGCGTGTCAGCGCTGTGATCATCTGGCCCACCTTCACAACAGCACAAGAAGGTCCTCAAGGGAGGGCCTTCTCTCCTGATGGACCATGGCAAGCCTACTTGACACAAGCTATGCAACGTCTATTGTCCGACAGATTCCGGGTAGATCGGGAAATGCTCTGAAAAATCAGACTTTCCACTGCTATGTTATGACTTCCCTTTTTTGTATAATCGTAATATCAAAATATTCTGAGCAACTTTCAGTTTACAATTGGATTGCCTCAGCCGCATAAGGCCTGCCTGCCCTGACAAGCAGGGTGAGAAATTCCTTTGAAGTCAAAAGTGACTTGACAACTGGCTGATCAATAAGAAAGCAAAAGGGCTGTTTCTGCAAAGTCTCTCACTGCAGGATGGAGGAAAACCCAAATCTTATCATTCTACTATCTCACCTAGCCTTCTATTCAGCTTCTAAAAGAATTACTCAAACTTCCTACTGTCTGGCCTTTAGTTATGGAAATTCATCCAGGTTGCCTGTTTTAGAGCTAGTCAAGTTTTTTACCTGCTACACTTCAAAGCAATCCACAAGTCTTTCTGGCTAGTCTTTCAGGATTCTACTATCTAGTCTTTAGATAAGGAAATTCACCTGTGTCTCCTATTCAGAGCAAATTATGCTTTCTACTGTCTAGACCTCAAGGAAACTCACTTAAAACCTTTTAGCAAGTTTCTTCAAAGAACTTTTCCGAAATTTGATTTGCAAGAAATTTCCTTTTCCTGCCTCTCGGATGTCTCAGGTAGAAAAAACCATCAAGTATTAGATAAGATTTAAGGGACTTTATTTTTTTCAATCTTCACTATAGTAATACTAGTCTTAAACTTTGTGCACCTATGTACCTGTTTTTTAAACTTGATTGATTTTAGAATGTTATAATCTCAAGTAAAGTAAAGTAAAGTAAAGGTCAAAACGACCCCACACTATTGATTCTTAGAAAAAGGATGATTGTGATCTCAACTCCTTTCATATGCTAATGTCATCCCCCTGCCTGCTTGAAATGTATAAAATAAACCTCTGCTGAAGGCAGAGCAGGAAGATTTGCACCCAACTCCAGTGTCTTCCTCACTCCCGCTCCCCTTTACTCCCCAATTTTTAGAATATTGCCTCACTGACATCGTTCCCACCTTGAGACCTTGCCTGTGTCAGCCTAAAATCAGGGCTGGTCCCCGACACCTACTCAAGCTATTCTGGAGGCCACAGCCACAGTGGACCCAAGACCTCAGCCTTTTCCCATCATCAGACTGAGGAAGCCCTGGGCATCTCACACTACCTCAAGGAGGAGGTAGAGGCACTGTTTTGACAACAGAATTCACAAAGACTTCTGAAAATGAGAGCTTGAGGTTGGATTTGATTTGGCTAAGCAAAAGATAACTACTTCATGTGTAAAATATATGCATCAGGGTTATTCATGTACAATATGTATACCTAACATTATTCTTGAAAGAATAACCAAAAATGAATGACATTCAGGATGGGATTGTGCTTAGTGAAATAAGCCAGAAAGAAAAAGAAAAATACCGGATGGGGGTGGGGGGGGACAAATATAAACGAGTAAAATAAAAACAATGAACAACTATAAACCAGAGACATTTTACCGGGGGAGAAAGGGGAATGGGATCAGAACTGGGGTGAGAAGAGTGCACTGGACTATGGTGATGACACACGGGTGAATTGGTGGTAGAAAGTCCATGGGTACTGTAAATGAGATGAAAAATGCACAAAATGAAGAATGATGTAAAAAAATAAGAAATATAAAAAATTTTTAAAATGAATGATATTAATTATTGTTAGCCTCTGTTCATCCAGGAAAGTGGGGAATTACTATTAGGTATCAATATTGCTATTAATTCCTAATATTCAAATAGCACTTGAAAGATATACATAGTCTTACGCTGGTGCGGCAAGATAATGTCATGTGTTCATCTAGTTAATTTCATTTTTGTTCCAAGTGGACAAAAAGACATTTCCCATACTTCCCTGTGGTTAGATAGTAGTCATGCGACAGAGTAGTGACCAATGGTAAGTGGCAGAAGTGATGTATGGCACTCAGGCCTGCTTAGGAACCCCCCTGCAGTATCCTCCAAACTCTTTCTTCCAGTTCTATGAGGACGTTGGAAGGCATAAGTTAAAAAAGATGGTGCTGGCCCTCCCTGATGGCGCAGTGGGTTAAAGCACAGCACTGAGAAGCTAGAGCCACTTCCCCATGAGTTCGATTCCCGCCTGCCCCGAGGTGACCACATGGCGTGGCAGACCTCTCCTGACCCGCCCGCTGCTCCCCTCAGCAGTGTACTTTGTCGATCTGCCTGTTCTGCTCCCCACTCTGTCTCTGGTGAAGCCTCTCGCCGCCCCTGAGCCTCTGGCCTGTACCCCAGTTCTGTATACACAAATAAATCTTCAAAAAAAAAAAAAAAATGATGATGCCATGGGCCCTCCCTCGTGGTGCAATGGGTTAAAGCACAGCACTATAAAGCTGTCACAGACATCTCAGCACGAGTGCGATCCCTGGTCAAGGAGCTGACTCACGTGGCATGGCAGACCTCTCCTGACCTGCCCGTTGTCAGCAGTATATTTCAGTCAGTCTGCCTGTTCTGCTCCCCACTCTGTCTCTGGTGAATCCTCTTACCCCCCATACATCTGGCCTGTACCCCAGATCTTGTATGCATAAATGAATAAATCTTTAAAAGAAAACGATGGTGCCAAAGAGAGAAGTCTAATTCCTCAAGACCCTTTGCAGACTAGATTGGACTCTGACGTAAGTGATAAATAAGTATTTGTTGTATGAATCCAGTAATGCTGGGGTCATTGTTTATAGCAGCTAGCATTCCCTCACTGATTTATGGGTACACAAGTATTCTCTAATAGTGTTCCATTTGATTCTGACAAGAGCCCTGTGAGTTTGGTAGAATAAATACTATTCTCCCTGTTTTATAGATTCTAGGTTGAGAGACTCACCTTGGCCTCAGGTAGCCTTTCCAACCATAGAAGTTCAGACTTCACAGGACCTCTGGGGCTGGCTCCCTTTCCATTTTATAAGTGGGGTGATGAGACTCAGAGAAAAGAGGAGATTGGTGCAAGGCCACAGAGCTATTGGCACAGAACTTTCTCTTTGTCAAATGCTCCCCTCTAAATTTTACTCTTACATGTGACCATATACCGGCCTGGATGAGAGAGGAATATCCAGCTGAGACTATGACTCTATGTCCATCTATGTGTGCCTGGGGCTTAAATTTAGAAGTAAATGCTCATGGTAACATCTCCTGAGTAAAGGTTCTCCGTTTCCAATCTACGTATTTTAACAGCTAAAGAGAGAGAATCTGGAGGAAGGGAGAGAAGAAAGCATGACGGGGTCCCGACATGATAGGATCCTCATAGTTCAAGGCCTGCGCCTCAATTTCAGACCATTCAAAGCTGTCCCAGGACTCAGCTCTCCATTGTCCTTCAATACCAGAGAGGCAACCTCTCCCCAGGTCTCTCTTAAGATTTTTTGCCTTTCCGCTAGTTCCCAGCTACATGTTAGACTCACCTGGAAAGCTTTCAACATTACCAATGTGCAGCTGACCCCAAACAATAAAGTCAGAGTTGGGGAGAGGTCAAGTTCTTAATAGCTCCAGGAAAATCTAACATAGAGCTAGAATGGGAATTACTGTCTCAGGTGAGAAGCTTGGAGCTCTGGATAATTGTTGTATTAGTTAAAGAAGGAGTCAGGTGACAAAATGCTCATAGTACACAGAGGACAGTATGGTGTCTGGGACAAGCTTCTCCTTCCACGCTTGGCCACCTTATATTTTTAAATCAAATGACCCACATGGGATTCTATTTGCTTATAGCCAAAGAAACCAGATCAGTATTCCTAAAACAGAATGCATTTGTTGTTATAATTAAAAGAAGTGCAGACCATGTCGATATTGAAATATTTAAAGATTTTGAAGTGCTGGCCCAGACCTGTTCTACCAGCCCAAACCCAACTGAGGGAAGACAGACTGGGCTGCATGAGTCCGTGGTGCTTCTGACTGGGCGAGGCTCTCAGAGGCTAAGTGGGGTATGGAAGGAATGCACATTTGGGGAGTAACAGCAACCCAGTTGCTCTCCCTGCCTTTGGGTGTCCATTCCCCTGGCCCAGGAGAGAGCTCTCCCAGGCACTGCAGTCTGTTCCAGGTGGTCTCTGACATGTCAGCTGATCATTAGATGATACACACCTGGATGAAGGGGTTATAGGGTGAAGAATATGGGCTTTGGAATCAGGTAAAGCTAGATTCCAACCCTAGCTCTGCCACTTACTAGCTATGAGGCTTTGAGTGTATAACCTCACCTCTGTGAATCTCAGTTTCGCTTCCAGTAAAATGATTTTAATAATACTGATGACCCACTTTTTAAGATTTATTTATTTATTCATACAGAACTGGGGTACAGGCCAGAGATGCAGAGGTGAGAGGATTCACCAGAGACAGAGTGGGGAGCAGAACAGACCAACTGATGAAGTACACTGCTGAGGGGAGCAGAGGGTGGGTCAGGAGTCTGCCACACCACGTGGGTCACGTTTGGGGCGGTGGATTGAACTTGCACTGAAGAGGCTTCTGCCAGCTTGCAGTGCTGCGTCCCAACCCTCTGCGCCACCAGGGGAGGCCCAGATGACCCTGTTTTACAGGTACCTTTTGACACTTGCATAAGGCAACCCACAATGAACTCATTAAATGAGGCTGGACACTGGATTACTGGGTTTCAGTTCTAATTTGATAATCCAATATCTATGTTACTTTGGGGGGCTACCCTTCTTTTTTTAAATTTATTTTTATTTACTTTATGCATACAAGAACTAGGGTGTAGACCAGAGGTTCAGGGGGTGACAGTATTCACAGGAGACAGAGGGGGGAGCAGAACAGGCAGACTGACTGAAGTACACTGCTGAGGGAACAGCAGGTGGGTCAGGAGAGGTCTGCTGTGCCATGGGGGTCAGCTCCCAGCCACGGATTGAACTCAGGCCTCAGTGCTGGCAATGGTTTGATCGTGCTAAGATGTAACCCCTGTGTCACCAGGGAAGCTCCATATCCACGCCTCTTGTCCCCACCTTGGGGACAATACTTCCCCTTCTGTAAAATGCATTATAACAATACGTATCTTATGCCATCATTATGAAAACTAAGTTAATAATTATCAAGTGATTTTACCACTGATTAATATAGCACTAGTACTATATTCAATAAGTGCTCGTGTCTGGAAGTCTTATTACTGTCATTTCTCTCACACTGGAATCGAAGTCTCACCACCGGGCTGGTGGCGCTCATGCCAGCTCTGGGAACATTCTCATCAAGCACCCCAGACCCCTGTCCCCTGACCACACTAACCTGAGCTCTCCATGGGAGCCTGCAGTGTGTGAGGAGGAAGTGGTTGTCTCAGGCAGCAGAATGGAAAGTTAAGTGGTTGTTTTTCTGTACAGAGGTAGTTCTGCAAAAAAAAAAAAAAAAAAAAGAGGCGGTTCATGTAAGTAGTGGGAAGGGGTATACAGTATATTTGGGGGATGGAGAGGCTCCAAGAGAAACCGGCTTTTAGTATGATGGAGGGAAATTTAGATTTATTTCAGAATAGTCATATGGCATTTACTATGTGCCAGCGACTCCTTCAAGAACACACAAAGATCAGCTCTATAATGTTAATTTAACATGACCTTATGAAGCAGGTACTGTGTGTCCCCATTCTACAGATGGGGAAACTGAAGCACAGAGAGATTAAGTCAAGGTCAAAGAGCTGGGAAATAAAAGAATGAGTACTCGAACTCAGACCAGTTGGCACTAGAGCTTATGCTCTCACCATGACCCATGGCTGCCCCACTGAGAGCCCCAAGGAAGGCACCCCAAAAGTCTGCTCCACAGAGCAGCAAACCTGATAGCTGAAAAGTGGAGGAATTCTGAAAAATTCCAAGAGCTTGTTCTTTGGAGGAAAAAATATATACCTAAGACAGCTGAAAGAGAGAGAGAGAACAAGAAGACAATATTAGAAATGATAAATGTCACATACACACATTTGCAGTGAAAAAGAAAATCTGAACTCTTCACATCACACATACGTATGTATGTATGATGATATAAAAAATCATATATAATTTTTTTTGGAAAACAAAACTACCCAAAGGCTCCAGAAGAGTTAGAAAAGCTTCTTAAATTATTAATCAGTGAGGAAATAGAGAAAATGGTCTGTCAAAAAGCTCTCAAAAAGTGGGTTTGGCTTAGATAGTCCTCTGATAAATTCCTTCAACCCTCTGAGAAAAGCAAATGTTTATATTATTTGAACTATTCTAAAGCACAGAAAAGAGGAAAGAGTCCTGAAAAGGTCAGTTTACCTTTAATACCAAAATCTAGTAAAGATAGCTTTTAAAAAGCTGAAAACTTCGAACCTTGTTGGGATGGTTGTTTTAAGTAGAAAAAAACAACAAGCACTGGTAAGAATGTGGCAAAATTAGAATGTTGATCCACTGCTGACTGGAATTATAAATGTCAAATACAAATACAATATGTGGATTTCTCAAAACGTTAAATGTAATTACCATAGACCCAGGAATCCCACTTCTAGGTAAACACATAAAAGTGAATATAGGTTCTGTAAAACCTTGCATGCCAATGTTCATAATAGCATTATTCAAAATAGTCAAAAGATAGAAACAATTCAAATGCTTATCAGTTGATAAAGTAGATAAACAAAAATGTGGTGAATACAGAAAAAGGAAAATTATTCAGTCTGAAAAAGAAAAGAAATTTTAAAAAATTATTTATTTTTGCATAGGAGAACTGGAATGGAGGCCAGAAGAGCAGGGGATGATAGGATTCACCAGAGACAGAGCGGGGAGCAGAACAGGCAGTTCGACCGAAGTACACTGCTGAGGGGAGCAGCAGGTGAGACAGGAGAGGTCTGCTGTTCCATGTGGGTCAGCTCCCTGGCTGGGGATAGATCTCAGACTGTAGTAGTGACAGCACTGAGACCTAACCCCAAGGCCATCAGGGAGGCTCGAAAAGGAAAGAAATTGTGATATATGCTTTCACATAGATGAACTTTGGAAATATCAGGTTAAGTGAAATAATGTTACTGGGCAACCCCGACAGAAAATGGGATGGTTTGGGTGTGAGTCCTCCTTTGCCCACTTAAAAAAAAAAAAAAAAACCTCAAGACAAAACCAAAGGGCAAGCGCATGAAGAAAGCTTAGTAAAAGATTTATTTACAAGGGAAATGAGAAAAGGGGTAGCACAGAGAGAGAGAAAGAGATTAGCTGGTCAATCGTCCTACCAGTAACACTCTCTGTGCTGAGACCCTGGGTGCATGTGGAAGGCAGGCAAAACCAAGAGCCCTGAGGCCCACATACATCTGTTCAGCTTTCTACCAAGCATGGCTGCGCAACTTCACACTTCATTCCCAGCAATCCGCCCTCAAGGAGTCAAGAGTCATGGGAATTGTAGTTCTTCGGCATCTGGGATCTCTGTAGCATGAAAGTGGAAGTGGAGTCCTTAAATGGTTAGTGGGTGGAGTTCACTCAGGACATACTGTTCCCCCAACAAGTAGATATACACAAAAGAACACATATATGATTCCACTTATCTAAAATAGACGCAGTCACAGAGACAGAAAATACAATGGAGGTTACCAGGAGCTGAGGAGGGGGAAGGCAGGGAGAAGGGATAGAAGCTATTGTTTAATGGATACAGAGTTTCTGTTTGGAGTGATGAAAAATTTGGGAAATGAATATCCAGGTGATCCAACAGCACAGTGAATGGACTTAGCAGGCTCTTTAATATTAACCTTAACCTTAACCTTAAGGGTAGGCACTGTTTTGTTATTATTTCCAGTGTCCAGCTCAGCAACCTGCAAGCTTTGGGGTTCAAATAAGTGAGTCCTCATATTTGGGCAGCTCAGCCAAAGTAAATACATGTGAGTAGTGAATTTAATACTGAAAATGGTTAAAAGGGCAAATAGATAATAAAAAATAGAATAGACTCACCTTTAACATAGATGAAGTTCTAGTTCTGGCTAAAAAATTTTAAAATTAATATCAATTCATTGAATTCAACAAATTGAAATTATAATGTACTATGAAAAATTTTAGCCTTTGATAATCATAAGAGTGAACATCTCTATGTGATACCATTGGCAAAAGTTAGAAAAGATAAAATAACATTCAAAGTTTGTTGAGTGTATGAAAAAAAAGTCTCATATTCAGTTGGTGAGAATGGAAATTGGTATAGCTTTTCTGAAGGGCAGCTGAGCAACGGTATCAAATTTTTAATGTAAGTAATGTTTGTCCAAGAAAATCCAGTTATAGGAATTTACTGTAAGGAAATAATTGTATAGGTAAATAAAGATTATGTGCAACAATGATCATCAAAGTTGTTTATAATGTACAAAAAACAGGAGAAACTTTAAGACCCTACTATAGAGTATCAAGCAAATCAGAGTTATCTCTGCAGTGGAGTAGTATACAGTCATAAAAATGATTGTCTATATATTTACTGAATTAAAAATAATTTTCAGAATTATACATTTTAAACAGTAGATAATAACATATTTCTAATAACAATAATTTTAAAAGCATGTTTCTAAATTAGCATATATACATTTAAAAGGTCAGGAAAACTGAACATGAAAATGTGACACTGAGGTTCTAGTTCTGACTAAGAAAAAAAAATCTACTCCATGATAGTTCTGCTGAATACAACTAACTACTCTGGATAATATGTATGGACTAGCTATCTCAGGATTCTGGAAAGTAAATGGTAACAGGTAGAATGGAGAAGGAAATAGTACTTGAAGTAAGGACAATGAGTTTTCTACTTTCCCCACCTCTGTTCTACCTTGGCCCAGACACAAAAGCAACCTAAAATACAGAAGTGCACACTGATGTTAGATAAAATCAGCTAGAAGAAAAGCCTTTATATTCTTATTTGAGGAGAAAAAAGAAAGAAAGAAAGAAAGAAAGAAAGACCTCCCTAAGGATTACAAAGTTGGGGCAATTCCCCTTTCCTTTTCTATTTTCTCCTGTGATAGCTCCTGGGCAATCCCTCAATAGTCCATGCATGAAGAAGCTGTGACAATCCGAAACATGTCAGGAAACACCTAACAGCAGACCTTCAAAATACATGAAGGAAAGACTAAGCAAACAAATATACAATTATTGTTGGACATTTGTAACAGCTCCCTCAGGATTTGCTAGAACTAGCAAATGAAAAATCAGCAAGAATAGAAAAAACTGAATACTACCAAGCAAGTGAATTTACTGACATTTATAGATCGCCACATACAGCATTAAGCAGAGTTCAAATTGTTTTCACATAACATTCACCATGAGTCATAAAATGAGCCTTAGCAAATTTACAATATGACATCATAACAAGTAGATTTTCTGACCATAATGAGATTATACTTGAAGTCAGCAAATACAATGATAACTAGAAAATCCCTAAACACTTGGATATTAAACAATAATCTATGAGTTCAAAAATCAAAGAGGGAATACTCTCCAGCTTCTTGTGTCTAGCACTACCCTGATACTGAAACTATACAAAGATGGTAAAAGGGAAGAAAAAAGAAACTGATATCCCTTTCTTTGAACACATATGGAAAAGTTCTCAACAAAATATAGCAAATCACATCAAACATTATCTAAGAAGAATAGCATACAATGATCTCCCCAGGCTTATTCCAGGGTGTTAAAACTGCTTCCATGTTTGAAAGTCAGTCAGAGTGAGCTATCAACAGAAACTAAAAAAATAAGAAAAAAAAACACATATATGATCCTAACAATTGATACAGTAACAATATATGTCAAATTTCAATACTCATTCATGATAAAAATGTAGAGAAAATTAAGAATAAAAGGGAACTTTAATAATCAGATAAAGGGCAACTACCAAAAACAACTCCACTGATGAAAGACTATTGCTCCCAAAAAACTAGGATACGACAAGTATGTATATCCTCAACACTCCTATTTAACATATTACAAGTTGTAACCAATGTAAGAAGGTACAAAAGAAAACAAGAAAGGGAAAGACTTGTATAGATTGGAAAGGAAGAAATGAAATTTCAAATAAAATTTGAAAATAATATGACCCAATAGTTAGGTGACAAATATACTTAGAAAATCCCAAAGAATCTACAAAAATATCTCCTAAAATTAATAAGGAATTTAGCAGGGCAACAGGCTATAAGGTTAATACATAATATCAGTCATGTTTATATGTGCTAACTATGTACAGCTGGAAATCAGAATTTAAAGTACAGTGCCATTTAACATAACTCCAAAAGAAAAGAATACTTAGGTATAAATCTAACAAAACATAGTTAGGATTTACATGGTAAAACTATAAAATACTGATGAAAGAAATCAAGTAACTAAATAAATGGGGGACATACTACGTTCATGATTTGGAAAACCCAATCAAGATGTCAACTCCTGGGCTCTT